AATATCATAAATATCATTGTGGAAACAAATTATGAAGCATATTATAAAATGAAGTTGCAAAATTTGTGAGGCACTTTCATCGATTTAAAAGTCCTACCGGTCTCCTATATTTTTTTATGATGTCCTCCCCAATATTTGGGTGACCCTATTCGGCGGAATGGCGGAATACATGCAGTCAGTTGTAAAATACGGAATATACGTAATGCTCTAAAACACGGAATTTACAGAATATTCTGTATTTGATTTGAACTGGACTGACGAAAAAGCAGAGGCAATATTAAAAATTCAATTTTCGTACTGCCGTAAGCCACACTATAGACCTTATGACGGTTTTGAAAGCCATCTTGACGGGTGAAGGGTCCGGTATCACGGGAATCTAATGTCGGATAACTTTCATAAAACGGCTGTTCTAAAAAAAAAAAGAATTGTAAACTTAAGCTTGACAGGATTGTACTACCAATTAATGGGGGCCGCACCTGTGCCTAAATTTGTCCGGTCGCTTGCTTTAGATTTTCCAGAGTCTTCAAAGTCTTCAAAGGAATGATCTCTTCTTCAAATTTTGTGGAGATTGCTCGGTTGGTCGTTCTGGCGAGGAAGGATCCAGGGACAACAAGTCCGTTTTCCAGTCTCCTTGATCCATTACCTTAATCGACTTGCACTTTGTTTTGACTGCGTGCTTTTTTAAGAAAGGTGAATATAAGGAAGGAAAGTTCCATCGACAAAGTGCCAAACAAGTTTCAAGGTAAGTCCCTAGCGTTAACTGAGCATTCACCGTCGGTATTTGTTACTGCTACAGTTTCAAATGTTGTTCGTTTTTAAATAAATATCAAAGTTCTTTTTTTAACATTTGGCTGTTTCTCAAAAAAAGAAATAAGAACCCTGTCCCGAATAAGCGTCCTCCCTAGAGGCACCAAAAGTAAATAAGCGCCTGGGCGCTAAATCGAATCATTACGGTAAGCCAATTCTTTTACTTGTCACGCGCTTAAAACATGGTTCGAGTTAATGAGGGTAAAATTATATAGAAATGATCTGAAGAGAAACAAAAATTAGTATTACTTCGAGTCAGCACGAGGTTCGAGTCAGTAGCGAGGGTTCCAGTTATTGTAGTCGACTGTATACATGTATACCCTTTTTAAACGATTTTTCTCTTATTCTGCGTTTTAGAGTATTCCGTATATTCCGTATTTTAGAATCATTTCCCTGTATTCCATCATTCCGTTCCGTCATTCCGTCAGTCCGCCATTCCACCGAATAGCGTCACCCCCGATATTTTCATGTCCAAGAAAGTACCAAACGCGAGGCTAATCATTGTGCCAAGAATTGAATCTGTTAGCTACATTTTAAAGCGCCAGATAATAGTCCTTTGAGAAAAAAAAAAACTGTAATTCTTGGGCGTAATGGACTCAGTTTTTGGGACCAAGATGTTGGTCGTTCTCGGGAGCAACAGTACTCCAATATCTCTCTCCTTTTTCCCTTGAAGGAAGACATTGGACATTGACATGAATGATTCTAGCCCGAAAAAAAAAAACATGGGATCAGATTTCTTTCAATAGACCGCTGACCAGTAGAAGCGTCGACTCGTGACCCCACAGCGATCAGATCACGCTGAGGCCAAAACGGTGCGGCGGTTCGGGAATTTTTTCTTTTTAAGTCACCATCGCTTGTGAAAAAATAACATTACTGTAACATTGTTTCACTAAGTGCTTTCTGGCCGGGAAAAAGTTGTGCATTCGTTTAGATTCCGCCGCAGTTTAGACAAATGACGTCATTGGCCGCTGTCACGCGACGACATTTTCCAGATTCAAGTTTCGTCAGCAGATGGTAATTTCGAGTTCTTTTCTTCTTCTGCCTATTTTTCATCTTCCTTTCTCTTTTAATTCTACGTCCTTCTACTTAGGATGGTTTCTGAGCGCCTAGCAAGGATTAAAGTGGCGTTTACCACGCTATCCACGGCCGTATTGGCAACAGAGAAGTGTTTCGCCGAAGTAGCAAGATAACGGTAAACACTGCAACTTTGAACGCTTTGTACAACGTCAATATGCTTTGGCCGAAAAATGTTTTTCCAGAATCGTAATGTATATCCCTCCAATGTCTGATTCATCACTGTGATTGCTTTCAGCAGCGTTGGACTTTTGAGAAATAATTATTTTAAAATCAGCTTCAACGCTCCATCTAATTTAATATGCAATATTTGAAAATTTATTTTTTATTCCCTTCGGCAGTTTTTCGATGTTTATCGAATGATATTGCATTAAAAGGCCTTTTTCTTCATCACTGTGTGGTTTTCTCGCTATTTTGCGTTGCGATAGTGATTTCTGAACCGTTTTTTGCGAGGGCTCATTTTAGGCCTGATTTTGCTGCTATCAGACGGAAAAAGTTTGCGGCTCGATATTTTTGGTTTAAAGCGAAACTGAAACAAAAGAAATTCATTTTTGAATAGTATTCAGTAACCTCTACTTGGGAGATAAAAATCAGCCGATTTTATTTTTTAGCCGGAAATCATCGGTCGTTTCTTAGGCGCAGGGCCTCTTAATCGCCTGAGTCTATTACCTTGTTCACGTTGATTAACAAAATAATAATAATTATTATACGATTCTCCTTAGCAACAGCGTTGAAAGAAAAAAAATACAAGTTAGATTCCGCTAAGTTCTGCAAACTCATTATAAAAGGAACATCATATCTATCAACAACAAGTACAGTTATCGCGAGCCTCTGTCTCAGCAGACCGAAATTTTGAAAAAACCACTCCCTTAATATTTGATGTTAAATATATCGCCTGAAGTCTCTATCTTATTCTATCTCTGGGAGATATCTGGGCCTTGTTTATATTAGTAATTCATTGATGTTTGGATTAAATCTTACGGTTTCTCAGAAAACCCCGAACTGTTCAAAACACAAACAATCCACTAATCTTAATTCATGCTCATTTTACTAAAGAACCACACGCAGCTGTGTAGTTAATTTTAAAAAAGAATTAACTAAAAAACGCATTGGTCCATAACCATAGCCCCCAGTAGCTCATTTTCCAATATTTTAGGTTTTCTTAAATGTGAGTCGGGAAAAAAGTACAGAGGGAGTGGGTAATGAATATGTAGTCATTTACTTTACCTTAACTTGGAAATGCCAAAATCGCAAGAGTGACTTTGTCAAACACTTCAAAACAGAAATTTTAGTTTGGTTTCGTAGTTCGTTGCAATTTTTATTCAGTTGTCTTGTTTTTAGTTCATTCTTTACCCAAAACGCCTGGTTCCTTGAATGTTTTGGATTTAGTTTCTTGGGGTTCTGTCAAAGAGAACTTTTTAAGTGACCGCAGCTGGGCTTTATTTTGCTTCTTCGATATACCGTACTTCCTCGAATAATAGCCGTCCCTCGATTAATCGCCTCCCACGAATAATCGCCCCCTTTTGGTGCGAAAAAAGAAATAATCGCCCCCAACTATTAGGGACTTTAAGCAAAGAGTGCGGAAGGGTCTATCTATAGTACGTTGACCGGAAGTAATTTTTTTTTTACCAGCCGTCAATGTCTCAGATACGTATTCAAATTCGGGACGAGCACGTGGTACGGCAATTTACTAAAAAGTTCAATCAGCAAATCAACAACTTTGCACGCGTATTTTATTGTTTTTTCAATATTTTTTTTCCATCACTGCACGACCACGACGAAAATTCCTAATTTCACGTTTTGTTGAGGAAGTAATAAAACGAAGACGAGCTTTTTCCTCTATGAGTTACGTTCGCCTACATTTGACAAAGTAAGCGACCTTTAATTGGGGAAAAGTTTCAAAGAATGCAAATTCACTTAAAAAGCGGTGTCTTGGTACCTTGAGAAAAAAATTACTTCCGGTCACCGTACTAGACCCTTCTGTAGTCGTTCCTTTCCCTGTTATTCGAGGAAATACGGTAATTACTAATATTAAAGGGAAAAAGTTCCAATGTCTCGCTTTCTTTGCTGAGACTCAATCTTAACTGCCTGGATAGGTCATTTGCACTCAGAGGTCATGTGACATCGTTTTTATGAAAATGAAAGTCATATGATTTCGCCTTCGAAAACGATTAGTGGGTCATATCTTAAGCAAAATAATAGTGATTTGGTTTTTCAAACCAGCACCATTTTATTAAAATAAGTAAGTTCGTAGTTGGTCATGTGACCAAACTGTGATTTTAAGATCATGAATTACCTCTTTCTGAACGCAAGTTTGCACTTAAACGTCAATGAAAATGTTGAAAAGATAATGTGGTAACGTTTACAGCACATCTGAGCGTAACTATCAAACGTTTAACAAGATATAAGCAAAAAGTAGTTTTGGCCGCCATGTTGGAGGGCAAGAGTATGCCCTTTAACATGGCGGCTAATACAACTGATACTACTTTGTTGAAAAATCAAAGTGCCATGAAATATCTCCCTTAAATGAGTTGCCTCTCAAATTTCGGGTGTAAGATAATTTTTATGTGCTCTGTCAATTTTTGGCATTAGCAAGATTCCAACTCATTGTTTATTGTCGCCAAGTTCTGCCGCAGAGTTTTCTCATAAACCTCGAATAAACGGCGCACTCTTTTGAATGGGTCTGGCGTTTATTGGACAGCGGCGTTTAATCGAAGAAAAGGGTGTTTTAACTATCCAAAAATGTGTGTATTTGGGTGTCTTTGGGTGGGGAGGGGGTTGCATTGGGAATCAAGAACCCTCTCTTCCCTATCCGCGTTATCTGTAAATTTCACTTGCAGAACAACAAAGAATTTTCTATAGTTGATATCCATCTATATATTTTGATTTCCATAACCTTTCTTGAAGTTTTAGGGACAACTTCCCGTGCTAAAAATCGCTACTAATTCTACTTCAGGTCTTTGGATCCAGAGAAAGAAAACTGTGATATTTATGATGTGGCTTGGCGAGCGGAGTACTTAACAGGCGACACCTACAAACATCTGGTTGCTCAGGTGTGTATCGATATTACAGCAGCCCTGCCAACAATTCTCCTGAATTCGCTGGTTATTTTCGCCGTGGTAACAAGACAACGACTACGAAACAACTCTACCATACTTCTTGCTTGTCTAGCAGGGACGGATTTGTTTACTGGCCTTGTTGTTCTACCGCTTGCCTTCTCGCTAGACTTGAAGCGCCTTCTTGGGGTGGGGCCATTTTGTTCGCCAGAAAAAGCACTGAATGTGATAATAACGATATCAATTTTTGCTTCGTTGGGTCATTTGGTCGTGATCAGCATTGATCGCTTTATAGCTATCAAATACCCCCTGAGGTACTTGGATATTGTCACAGAAGAGAGAATAAAAATCAGTATTATTGTAGCCTGGGCTATCGCTTTGATGATGGCAATCAGTGAACTTGTTCTGGCTCTAATAGACAGTAAAAGCATCTACTCGATTTATTCGGTCGTGAACTCTGTGACACAAAGTGGTACAGGAATTCTTTTCATTATTACTATTTCATTGTCTTATGGTTACATTTACTCAGAGACACGAAGACAACTTAAACGCCTCAAAACCGAACAACTGCCCCAAGAGCAAGTCCAAAGAATCAAGAAAGACAGAAGGGCAGCTATCACTCTAGCAATCGTTCTAATTACTTTAGTAATAACTTATTTACCGGCAATAATAGTTTCGTTAGTGACTGCTTCTTCAGATAGCATTTTAGTAGAGCCGCGTTTTATATCCATTACTTTTAGCTGGGTGGGAATTTCAATGATGTTAGGTTCCCTGTGTAATCCTATAATTTACTGTTGGCGTATGAAGAAACTACGACACGCATTTCTCGGCATACTACATCTAAGAAAACCTGAGAACACCGTGCCAGAAGCAGAAATTACAGGAACTCAGTCCTTTCAACCTGGACCGACGTTTTGTAGAACAGACCAGGCTTTCCTGTCACGCGGAAACGGGCAACCAGTTTTGATATCATTTTGCCAGCAGCCAGTCGAATGCCTCCCTCGCATCGAAGAAGTCAACGGGGAATAGCCCTTAATTTAATGCCATCATGTTGTTCTCATCCGTCAATTAGCAGTGAGTGCGCTGAATCATAAAGAGCAGTGGCGGATCCAGGGGAGGGGCCCGGGCCTCCCCGTTATTTTTAGACCAAGCTAACGGCCGAAGGGCCCCAAAAAACTTTTTTGAGACCGCCCCCACCCCCTTTCTTTTCGCACGACAACAACAACAATAAGCTTTATTTTCTTGACTATGACAAAGTATTATAGTTTTATCGCAAAAGCTACTTGAATTTAATTTTTCATTCCTTTTTAAATTAAATATTTAAAACAACTTTACATATATTAATCATTGGTTATTTTTAACCATCAGTAGGATTAATTATTCCGTAGACAAGTTTGTCTCTCAAATCAAAGCAAGATGACATAAATGAAATTAAATAGATGTTAATGAAATAGTCAGTAGAGCTCATTAGATGTGATAATAAGGTCACATGTGATTGAAGTCGTAGAAAACGTATTTTAGGTTCTAGTTTAGAGAAGAACATCTGTCTTAATATCGAAGAAAAACTTAGACAATCTAATAAAAAGTGAGTTTCATCTTCAACTCTGATACAATTGCAGAGACTGCATAACCTTTCATCAGGAGCTACATGGTCGTATCTACCTGTCTCAATCTTAAGTTTGTGACTGCTTATTCTCAGTTTCACTAATGTTTTCCTAGAGGGGTTCTTTCTTGTTACATCTAGGTAAGCAGGGGGGCTATAATTCGTTTTGATTTTGTAACAAAAGTTAAAAGTTTTTGTGAATGTTAAGGGGTATGATTCCATTAAGACATATTTCTTTTGCATGCGATCTACATATTGCTTAATTTTACATTCATTCAGTAAATGACAATTAAAGCCTGGGAAATAGTTGTAGTCAGTCATCTTCTTGAGACTGGAGTAATATATAGATTTAGCCAGGGCTAAAAGCGAAGCTCCCGTTAATAAATTCATAATTTAAATCAAACAATAAACTTGTAATCCACAGATCAGGGCACATTCATTTGACTTTTGAGGCAAAGGCTGAGTGATTTTGGAGAAAAATCAGAATTTGACCGTCCAAGAGTGAAACAAATTTTACATCAAGTTATTTGTACACCGAAAAATAGCAATCATGTTCGATCACAGTAGATTAGGCCTGGAAAACAAATAGACCTATTCGTGTATTGTATTTGCCAGGGGCACCCAACGAGGATATAGTTCAAAACCACTTAACATAGCATTGTTGAACGCATTTTAGTATTCAAACGGTAGATATAGGCATATTTTTATCCCCTAAAAACTTTTCATCTGTTCGGATTTCCTAGCTGAAAGTCTAGTGATCCGAAAATTATAGGGATAAAAACTTACCTTCTCAAAAATTTCAGCCAGGAAAAGGCTCCCGAAAATTCTAGGTGGCCTTTTTTAGGGTCAAAATCCGTTAAAAATGGGTAATTATACCATTTTGTAGATGTTCGAAAATCCTAGGAGAGGCAGGCAAGCAAGAAATTTTACAACAAATGCTCCGAAAATTCTAGATCTCAAATCGTCTTCCGAACAGATATTTTCCCGAAAATTGCCGTTGGGTGCCCCTGATTTGCATTAGCTGTAGCATCATAATGTGGCATTCACCAGTCTCTCCAACATTGCTCCGTTAGAGAGACTACGGATAATTGGACAACCCCGAAATATAATTTTAAGAAACACATGCGCCACGATAGTCCTTGGTGGCAGCCAATTTACACGTTGCATTCCTCTGTCTAAAAGAGAGGCCAAAATAAAAATCAGGCCGGATTTTTTGTGTTCGACAAGTTTAGTTTACTAGTAAATCTTGGCGACGAATCTGGTGGCGTGTAAACCAGCCTTTTACACATACTTTTTCTCATCACGTCTCAGGTAAACAGAACACAGACCTCGGACAGAATTTGTTCTTTTTTGCCCTATTTAAACCTATAATTCTGCAGTTCTTCACGGTTTTGCAAGAGAATTTGCACTCATTCAATATCCACGACCATCAAAGCACGCGCTTCCTTTGCACAACAAAATTATAGCATTGAATTATAAAACGTTTTCTGTTAGAAAAATCTGGTCCTATGTGATATGCGGGTAGTAATTAGGGGCTTTTAATGAAAACGATAAAAAAGCGAGTGATATTTACGCGCTGCGTTTTGAGTATTCCTACATGCGATGTTTATATTCGACTGGAAACAACCGGTGCAGCGATGAAAATTGCGAGAAGGACTACTAACAATCAATAAAATAAGTTTAATTCGGTGAAACATGTACAGAGACAATAATTTTCATTCACGAAGAGAAGTATTGAGAGTAAAGTGTCTCAGAAAATCATGAGTCAGGCAGGCATAAGCTTATTTATGTTTTAAGCCGGCTTCCCGGTGTTCGCTCTTTTTCAAGATGAACTCGAGGCAAGAAAATCGCTCAGAGCTTTCTGTTTACAGCCAAAATCATAACTAAATAATCTTCGGAACCTTTTCTTTGAATTTGCGGGTCAAAAAATGTCTAAAGGCTTTTTAAACCTGATACTATTGTCGGTTAGATCACTGCTCGTGTTTTAACTTAAGCCGCATAAACCATACGCTCGACTTCAGGAAACCGAAAAAAAAAAACTTCAAAAACAATAATGGCTCAGGCTTACCAGTCGAGATGCTGCTTCCGAAGGTCATCAAGGGTTCCAGAATCGCTTGAGACTTTTCAACCTTCTTACGCCTCAAGCAAGGGCAAGTGAGTAAGCTCATTTTTGAAAACGATGCCATCCGAAATCGAATTTCCAATGACTTTGACAAGCGGTGCATTTGTCAACAAGAAGCGCAATAAACAAACCAGCCACGAAGTACAGAACAATCTTGATAGCAGCTGTATTTCATTTTGTACACCAAGTAGAAAAAGACAGTTTAAAACATCACAAGATGACACAAAACTCTCTCAGCTCCAGCTATCAGTAAGCAAGTTTCCAGACGCTGCAAAAATTTTCCGCATAAACTCACCTGTCAAATTTTGACCAATCAGAACATAAAAATTGGACGTAGAGCGTGATCAACGCGTGACAGTGAGAAAAGTCAAAAGCGATTGCCTTCCCTGCATGTAAATGTAAAAGCCGGTTGAATTTTCGTGTCCTAGATCAGTTCGAAATCAACATTTTAAAAGTGCAGCTCATGAAACACGACTTATTTCATATGCATTTTAAAAAAATTGAACTTCAGCCTGCGATCATTAGAAAAGTAGCAACTTGTCAGCGAATACCTTCAAAATATTACTCGAACTCAGCGGGTCGATACCTAAGCCTGCGATACGGTCAGGCGATACTGGTCAGCAGAGACACTGTTTTGACAGCTGTCGATTAATCAAAATATGGATGTACAATATCAGGTTGCAGGCTCCCAATCTAGCTAGAAAGTGTGAGATTAAACATTGGTATGCCTGTGGTGCGGACGGACGGAAGGTCGGGTGGTCGGTGTACGGTCACGTGATTGCCGAATTTTCTAGGATGGATAGATTTTCTATAAAGCTATGGGGCTTCGAATTGAGCCCGTGATCAAATAAAATATCAGCGCAAAACTTTAAACACTACGTGACCTCAATA